TTAGGCTTTTAAGAGAAAAAATTTGTCAGAAACTATTGATTAATTTATCCTCTATCAAATGAGTACAAATATTCCCTTTTTACTTAAGCAATTAATACTACAAAACATTAAAAACAAATACTACTCAATTTTTGGGGTGGAAAAAAAGATAGGACCAGACTAGAAATATCGACTTTTGTTCGGTCAAAAATTCTGTAAAAATTTTTATGAACATTTCCATCGATACTAAGTAGAAAATTAAAAAGAACGAGGTCTGTAACTTATTTCTTCATCGAGATCTCAAATCTCGAAAATCAACGGAAAATTGGGGTACAGTACTTAAAAAAATATTTTAACCCCCTAGAGCTTAAATTAAAAATTTTATTTTAGGCCTATCTGAAAGCCCATAAAATTTACTACAAAATAGTCCGGAAATTAATCTTTCTAAAAAAATATCGTTTAACCCTAGTCCACTTTACATTAAAAGTGACAAAATCTCCCAAAATACCCCAAAAAAGATAACTTTCTCAATTTCCCGGTCCGTATCTCCATGAATTTTTTAACGGAAATTTTAAACGTGAGATATTCTTGTAGCAAATTTTATGGGCTTTCAGATAGGCCTAAAATAAAATTTTTAATTTAAGCTCTAGGGGGTTAAAATATTTTTTTAAGTACTGTACCCCAATTTTCCGTTGATTTTCGAGATTTGAGATCTCGATGAAGAAATAAGTTACAGACCTCGTTCTTTTTAATTTTCTACTTAGTATCGATGGAAATGTTCATAAAAATTTTTACAGAATTTTTGACCGAACAAAAGTCGATATTTCTAGTCTGGTCCTATCTTTTTTTCCACCCCAAAAATTGAGTAGTATCGTTTAAATTTTTTTGTAAAAAATTTTTTGGGTAAATTATCTCGATATTTATAATCATTTAAAAGATCATTTAAAGATCTACAATTTTTGTGTTGAAACTTTTTTTCTGAAAGTTAATCGAAAAGAGATAATCGATAAAAACTAATTTAACAGCCTCTGGTCCTATCTTTTTTTCCGGCATTGTATATTATTTTATTTATTAGAAAAATTTTTTTATTACCAATAATTTTTTCCATACACCTTTAAAACATTACTCATTTCTTCCACTTTTTTCTTCATTTTTCTTCTTATAATTTCTTCAACTATTTACGGAAGAGCGATCTCTCTCCCTCCTTAAAACACACAAAGTCCGTTGAACAAAGACCAGTCGAGACCAATTTTTTAATGTAAATATTTATTTTTATATTTCAAAATGCCCACAACACTTTCCATATAATTTTTAAAGTTTTCTTTTATTTTTCTTAAAGAAAATTAAAAATTAAAATACAAAAAAGATTAAATTTCATTCAAATTACAATTTTTTTGTTTTTCTCGTTTTCTCAGAAAAATTTAAGGAAAATAAATTTTAATCTTTTATCTTTTGAGCCTATAGGCAAAAATAATTTTTTAAGGCCTCTAGTAAAAAATTTCGAAAATTTTCATTTGTTCGACATATGTATGTAAAGGGAGAAATATAATTTTAATCATCCACCATTTTCCTCGAAAATTATTTCAAAACTCTATCCATCGCCGAATAATTTAAACTACTTTAATAAAAAAATCTCGGTTTCTGATCTGAATTTCCCGTGGGATTTCGTTTGCATGTCGGATTGAGATTAAGGATACCTGAGATAAAAGAATTATAACCAGGCTAATTAAGACTATAAAAATTTTTTCCAATTTTTTAGCTTTTATTAGCAAATAATAGCCTCTATATTTTTTTAAGTTTTTTTTGTTTTTCTTCTTTCGGAGGATTCTCTCCGTCACTAAACAATCTTCAATACTTTAACAAAAAATTCGGTTTCTAACTTATTACCTTCTTGTCGCAAGACGTTTAGCGATTTTTTGAACTACGAAGCGTTGAATTTAAAAATCGGTGCTTAATCAAGGATTTTAGCTGAACCAGTTCAGCTTTCGATGTCACTATAATACGATGTCATTATAAATTTTTCCCCGCTCATTCACACTTTTACCTAATTCCTTAACATGAAAACTACTCGATCCTTTCAGAAATCTGTTACCGAATTCGAGAGCTGTTATCTATCATAAAACATTTTAGTCGGAACTTATCCAACTTACAAAAATATTCAAACTGGTCTTAAACAATTTATACTTTGAATGTTTTCATAATCTTACTTTTCTAATACTTTATTTATTTAATTAAATATGGTGTAAACTAGAGTTCGGCTCGATACGATTTTTTATCGATATTTTTCGATATTTTTTCGATATTATCGAAAAAATATCGACCGACCTCTACGGCCGATCTCTAGTGTAAACTCCGTTGAACACCAACAAATTTTATTAATACTTTGATGCCCCACCCATCTATTTTTTCATTTTTTTCAATTTGTTCTCAATTTAAGCAAATTATTTTTTATTTGAAAGAGCTTTTCGAGATGAGTCGGTTGAAGCTAAAATCAAAGTAATCTTAATTAAATGTTTATTTTAATACCGTTTATTTTAACCGTTGCAGCTGCACAAAAAGTTTTCCTAGCGAGGATTAAGCTTCATAATTTTGTTCAGAATTATCAAACCTTGCGATCTATGAACCATTCGATCCGCTTGAAGAGCTCTTTCGAATGATAAATAATAAATTATATATCAAGCAAAAAGTTCAATAGGGAAACATGAGAATAGAGGGGGGGGGGGGGTTCAGCTAATTTTTTTGGTATGCTCTTAAATCGGACCTTTTCCATCACGTTTATATTTTTTCTCCAATTCAATGAATTTTTAGACAAGTAAAATTGTAAAAAAAATTTCGAAAATTTTTCGAGAACAAAATTTTCTGGATTAAGGCTATTTTGAGACTGCAACATTAACCCAAGCAACATTTAAAATTTTACACCTAAAATCTTTAACATATTTTAACTAGTGAGCAGTTCAGGGATGTGCCTTCATAAAAATTTTTCTAATAAACCAAAAAATCTGAAATTTTGTCAGATTATACGGGGCACCTTAAATTTTTTTTTGCAACATTTCCAGTTTATTGAAGTATGTAGCTAGCACAAAATTAAAAAATAAAATGTAATCGAATAGCGCGATTTATAGCTTACCTCAATAACTAAAAATACAAACAAAACACAAAAAAATACAAAAAATTCTTTAACATTATTTTCATTATATCATCATTATTTTTTTCCATTTTTAGAATTGAATTTCCTGAATTCCAAAAGAAATTTTTTTTTAATTTTTTTTCAAAAATCCTTTTAAATATGTGTCATCCCTCTTCTTTACCTTTCCCCCCTTTCCTTTTCTTAAATTTCAAAAAAAATTTTTTTTAATCTTTGGTTTTGGTCTTTGGCCATTTTTCTACCTCTCTCTCTTCTAAGCTTCAACTCCCTTCCAATCAACAAAAAAAACAAAAAAAAATTGTTGGCCCTTAACTGTGTGGGCTTTGGACTGTTAGAGAGAGAGACTAATTTCTAATCCTTCTATTTACATCCACTTTTTGCTTTAAACATCATATTTTTAGTTGGTTACGTAGTCCGTGGGTGTATTCAAGTAATAAAAGAATAAATATATACAACTACATTTATTTTTATATTTTTTTTTGTTTAAGCGGGATGGCGTCAACCACACAAACACTAACATTAACGTTGGGGTTGTTCTGGCGCTGGGCAGTTTTGGCGCGAGCAGTCATAACTGAAATTTAACCAAAACCTAAAAAGATGAAATTTTTCTCAAATTTTTCTGACTTCCTTGACTTACCCCCGCAGAAATTTCAGAATTTTTAATTCAATATTCTTTAAGTTATGGTCGATAAACCAAATGAAATTGACATGTTTTGACAAATTGATTGACATGTTTTGTTAAAATTTCTAAGAAAATTTGCATAATAGCAATTATTTTATTATAGCAATTATTAATTTTTACGGTATACACCAGGGGTGTGCCGAAACAGATTTTAAAAAGCGAAAGACGAAAGGCGAAAAGGCGAAAGTCGATTTAAAAGGCGAAACACGAAAGACGAAAAGGCGAAAGTCATTTTAAAAAGCGAAAGACGAAAGGCGAAAGACGAAACACCAAAAAAGACGAAAATAAGGCGAAAGACGAAAGGCGAAAGACGAAACAACTGTAATGAGGAAAAATCTCTAGATATCGGTTAAACTAAAGCTTTGGTTAATTACCTACTTTCAAATCTTCTATCAAATTCTCCAAATCTTGCGATTTCCTTCTTAACCACTAAATTATGGATATCAGAGGATTTAGAGTGATTAAGGAGGATATCAGAGGATGTGTATGGAAAAATTCAAATTTAAATTTTTATTTTTTCCTATCATTGGAAATCGACCATCGTTAATTGTGAATATAGTTAAAAGATTTTGGGAAATCCCAGGATATCCAAATCCGTTGTCCGAACAAGAATTTCGATATCCGGATCCGTAACCAAAATTTTTAATAAAATACTGAGGCTTACCCAAGTAGAGAAGTATCCCCTTTATCAGCGCCGCAGGCGAAAATTTTGAGAATTTTGAAGGTCCTTAAGTCAGATTTCTTCCCTTTTTGCGCCGCAATAAATACCACTATGCTGGAAAATAACCTGTATTAACTTTTTAAGCGCCGCAGGCAAAGATTTTGAAAATATAAGGTGTCTAAGGCACGGAAAATTCACTTTTTAAATTAAAAAAATAATTTTTTCATAGAAAAATTATAATTATTCTATTCATAATATATAAATAAAAATCTTGTCCCTAAATTTGGTCCGAACCTAACAATAATAAAATGGTCGCTAGTCGGAGTCAAACAACTTACCACTCAACCATCAATTACTTTATTAAGTTAAAAGAAAATTATATATTTATCCCCACTCGTCCTTAGTTTTTCTCTTTCTTTTCTTCTCCCAATTACCAACTTTTCCTCACATACCATCATTAGGGGTGTATAATATTTTCGCCTTTCGCCCAAAAAAGCGAAAGACGAAAGGCGAAAAGGCGAAAGTCATTTTAAAAAGCGAAAGACGAAAGGCGAAAGACGAAACGGCACACCCCTGGTATACACCTTTGATAGGTATTTATAAAGGCCAATAAGATATTTTTGTAAGCCATATTATTTTGGCTAAAATCAATGTTTTAACCTATTTTCTTGTTGTACAGGTCCTTGCCGAAACACTGTTCTGTTATGTTGCCCAAAAATTCCGAAATCATTGTTTAACCTGATAGGCATACTAGCGTTATTAATCTAAAATTTTATCATTCTAACTTACAGTCGTCGACATAAAGATAGGGACAAGAGTAATTTAAATATAAATTAACTATTTTTCGGTCGAAAAATACGTTCTATATATCAATCGAAAGCTCTATTTGTATCTCAGTTGACATGTTTCTGCATTTTTCATGAAATTGAAAATTGGCCGAGATAATCCGGATCTGCCGGATATACCAAATCCCACAGCCTCGGAAAAAATTTTCGGAAAAAATCTAACAAACCCATTTGATAAAGCATATTTTTGTGAGTATGTATCACAAAACCGCTTAAAAATATCTCTTTCCGGAGCAGAGATATGATTTTTTGAAAATGGCATTTTTCGTCAATTTTTGCAAAAAATTCAATTTTTAAGGGAAAAATGCCATTTTCAAAAAATCATATCTCTACTCTTGTCCCTATCTTTATGTCGACGACTGTATTTAAACACTATTTTATAACCTCACGCCAAAATAGCTCCGCGCCCAAACATCCACTCCCTAACCTTTACGTTTTTTATATTTTTTCTTTGGCCAGAGCCCAGCGATTACTAAAACTAACTACAACTACCTTTTCCATATAATAAATACTTCGCCCAATTCCCTCTGTAAAATAAGAGAACAAAGATTAAAAACTCGAGAATTTTCCCCCTTTTTATAAAAAAATAAAAATTTATTTGCTTTACAGAGAGGAGTAATCCTTCCTTTAATTTTTATTTAATTTATTGCAAAAATTGGGGTGGTGACTGGACAAATAAAAAATTAATTTTTTTATTTTATTTTTTATAATTTAAAGAAAAAAATAATTAAATTTAATTGAAGTTTTAATTTAAAATTTATATGAGGCATTACTCGCTTTTTTGCAATAATTTAATTTTTTTACAAGCTATGGGGAGTTTGAATTTTTATAAGATTTAAGCATGTTCAGAATAATTAATTTTTTTACAATTCTGGTACCTAAAATTCTGAAATTTAAATACATTCTGATTTCTGCTAAAATTCTGATTTTTTGCACTTCTGATTTTGATAAGTTCTGATTTACAAATTCTGATGCCTAAAATTCTGATTTTGAAAATTCTGATCACTAAAATTCTGATTTTTCTTAATGTAATTTTGATTTTAAATAAATTCTGATTTCTAGTAAAATTCTGATTTGACGATTCTGATTTTTTACAAATTCTGATTTTCTTCGTTTCTGATTTCAAAATTCTGATTATAATAAAATTCTGACTTTTACAATTTTGATTTTCCCCGTCTCTCAAATTCTTCACTTAATTTTTTTAAATTTTCTGATATTAAGTAACATCATAACTAAATAAAAATTAATTTTTGAACGTTTAAAGCATTCCAAGCATTTATAAATATAAAATCTTTCACACGTCAGTACATAAATTAATATTACTTATATTTTTTTAACCTTCCGGAAATTACAAAATACATTCTCTAACTTAATTAATCATTTTCTTATTTTTACCTTTTTTATAAAAAAACAACAAAAATTTGCTCTCTTCTCGATCTTTGCCCCAAAAATAGAAAAAAAATATTTTTAAACGAAAAAAGAGCAAAGAATTCTTTTTTTAGTGTTTTTTTGGTTTTTTATTATCGCGCAGTTCTCCCAACTCTTTTTGTTTTTTATTTAATCTCTAACCAAATTTCCGTCTTTGCAAGGTTGTAGAATTTAATGGGAGGGGTGTGGGGTTATTGCTTATTTTTCCCTATTTATTTTCTGTTAATTATTAGGTTGGAAATTATAACTATATGCTATTTAAGGTTCAAAAAATATTATTTTTATTAGAAGCTTTACAATTTCGATTTTTATTATTTTACAATTAATTTTACAATTGTAATTTTTTCGTAACTTGACTTAAATATTCTGATTTTTAAATTCTGGTTTTTGTTAAATTCTGATTCGTACAATTTTTATTACTAATTAACTTTTATTTCTTAAATTCTGATTTCTATTCTGTTTTACAATTCTGATTACAATGGTAATTTTTCTATAAGAAAACGAATATTCTGATTTTTTAATTTATTTTTTTTTATTATTTTTTTTTATTTTTTTAAATTCTGATTAATTCTGATTTTGACTATTCTGATTTTCTAAAGTTTGATAATTACAATTCTGATATTTAATTAATTCTGATTTTACAATTGTAAATTTTATACTTCAAGTTTAATTATAATTCTGATATTAATTTAATTCTGGTATTTTCCTCTTCTTTATTTCTGATTTTTAATTTCAATTTACAATTCTGTTATTATAATTCAACATTTTTTACAAATTCTGATTTTTCTTCTTTCTACGTTTCAATTCCAACCTTTTTTCAATTCTTGTATTTTCAATCGGATATTATTTAATTCACCCACACTTCTCTCCTTTCTATTTTTAACTAATTTTAATTTCCTCATTTCACAAGCACGTAATCTCATTCCTTGTTTATTGCGCGCAAAGTTTAAAGAAAAAACACAATAAAAATGTTTGCGTCATTTTCACATTTTTATAAACAATTTATTTTTAAATTTTTTTTCTTGTTATTTGTTATGTTCTCTTTTTTCTTTTAATTTACTTGGCGGCGCCTTTCTTAGTAAAAAACTTTAAAAAGCAATTGATCAACCAGCCTTCCTTCTCTCCCACCTAACGGCTTTTTTGACTAGAAAATACTGCCTTTTATGACACACATTTTCTCAAAATTTGTTTTAAGCTTTGGACGATTTTTTGCAAAATATATATTTTTTCAAAAAATATTTCTCTCTCTGAAAATGTTTTTCGCATGATCTTCGTCACAAGTTTTGGATAGGACACCTTATTTAAATAAAACTTTATTTTGATTTTTGTTTCATTAATCTTTTTAATTTTAAACATTTTACTTCTAGAAGTTTCAAATTTAATTGTTGGAAAATTAAAACCAAAATTCTGATTTTTACTTAATATATTTTATTTCAAAATTCTGACTGTAAATTCTATAAATTTATATTGTTTATAAGGAAGATTTTATAATTCTGGTTTTTACAATTTCTGATCCTTAACCTAATCGTATAAAATTTTTCTCGAATTTTTTTTTGAAATTGAAGGGGTTACCCCTTCAAAAATTTCTGAATTTTTTAACAAATTTTTTTAGGTTATTATCGAAAAATCATTTTTTCGAAATTTCGAAGAAAAGTTGCATAATATCAATTATTTTATTTTAGAAAATATTTTAGTATTTATTAATTTTTAACATGTAAAAAGATAATTTTTCTCAATGAATATTTTTGTAAGCTATTGATAATGGCTAAAATCAACTATAGTCCTATTCTATGTTTAGCTCTAGCAACTTGATTATGTTGTTTTTTTCTCTTTAAATAAATATAATTATTATTTTTAAATTATTTTACAATTGTATTTTTTTCTAAAGAAAACTAATAATTATTTATTACTACATCTTTTTGGTTTTAAACTTTTAATTTTTTTCCATAACAAAACTTTTTTTTCTTTCGTTCCTTCATTAACTCACGCACTTCAATTTTCATTCTTAAAATTGTAACAAAATTTAAAAATTATTTTTTATATTTTTTTCACACTATAATTTGTTTACTAACAACTTTTATTTATTTTTTTTATTTTTTTTCTTTCCCAATTTTTTAAAATTTCAGCGTGATGCTTAAAAATAGTGCCGAAACGTCGTAAATTTTGTAAAATTAAAATTTTCTTTTTGACTTTTTTTATATTTTAACAAATAAAGGCCAAAAGTAGGCCAAAGGCAAGAGTTCTAAGTTATTTTAAATTGAATGAAAAATGAGGGCGAAGAGTCTCTTCAAGTTTAAAAAATTGGGGGCAAGAACAAAGAAAGCGCTGCCAATGTAATTATACGGGGAATAGGCTTTTGGGCGCAGCAGCATTTTGGCGCAAACGATTGTAACTTGAGTAATTCTGTACGTAGAGCTATGAAATTTTGGTCAAATATCTGTAACGGTGTTATCTAATAATGTTAAAAATTCCAGATTTTTTGAGCAATCATTTCGAAAGTTGTGGTTTAATATGTTTTGGAACATCCAATTTTTTTCGATTTTTCCGTCTATTCGTCTGATTTTCTGAATTAAGATTATGACAATTTTTAGCAATGCTAGCTAACACTATTATCTCACGGATCCAAGTTTCTCCTGCATTTTCCTAAGTGTTATTGCACCTAAACCTTCCCGCGCCCAAACTTCTTCCATCCCTCGCAGTCTTTTCCTCATTTATTTAACTTCTCTTTTTATAATTACTATTTCGCACTTTTTAACAACTTTATCGGCCAAATTCTCGGGAATGTATTTAAAAAACGTGAGGGGAGGAGACTAAAATTTAACAACTTTCGCGCGAGAACACATCCCTTCTCATAAAATTTTCCCGTTTTTAAAATAAAATTTAACATCAAGAATTTATTAAAATTGAATGATAAATTATTCAAAATTTAAGTAAAAGACTTTTTGAAAAATATTTTTCTTTCAGTTAAATTAATCTTCTATTAATTTTTTACAAGACTCTAATAGCCTTACATTAATTTAATTTAGCTAAACGATTTTCTATAGACTAGGGATGTAGAATTATGAATCAATTATTTATTGTTTTGAATCAATACTTTATTGTAAATTTCTTTAATTTTTTTATTAAAATTTAATTTCAAAAATTAAGAAATTTTTTTTATTAAATTTTGTAACTTATAATTTTAATTAGAACTTGAAAAAACCCCTTTAATTTAAAGAGCTTGCAGACGAGCTTTTTAGCCGCTAGCTTTACCCGTTGATTTAAAGAGGTACTCTAAAATTTTGCGACTTTCACGAGCTTTTTAACCGCTACAGCATTTAGTTGATTTAACGAGCTACTAGAGATTCTAATTTTTTATAATTATAGTTTTTGCAATATATCAAGATTTTATTTTAATTCATTAAATTTTTTTTGCAAAATTTTTTGCCCTTTACAAGATTAAAAATCGACTTTAAAGAAAAACCCTGATTATTAGCTATTTATCACTTTTAAGTGTTTACGACGGCAGAGAGCAAGTCTGATCAGTCAAATGATCAAAATTAAAGGCCTTCCTAGGAAAGAGAGCAAAATATTCAAAGATTATTAACGCTAAGCGGCATTTTAAAAGCGATGGAATAATAGTCTGTCTGCTTTTGGCTGTTAAGAAAATTTTGAAATATTTTTTGTTGAAGTAAAAATTAATTTTTAGCCTCTAAATGTATTAATTTTATTTTTAATTTTTCTTTCGGCTAATTTTTTAAATTTTAAAATTTTTATTAGACTAGCGACGAGTAGCTCCGCTAACGCTTATTGAATTCTAAAGGTTTAGCAAAGCTACTAAAGCTCTTTTCTTTGGAGTGATTTTCACAGATTTTCATAGTTATTTCTTGCTTCTAAAATATTCTTTTCAAACTCAAAAATATTTTTTAAGAATTTTTCCGATAAAAACATTGTCAATAAGCATTCAAATAATTTTTCGAAAATCTTTGGTCATATACAAGCTCATATCATCAATTGTCACTAGACTCTTGACATTATTTATAACTCTGATACATTTTTATCTGTCTATTCTCTGTTAAGGAATTAAATTTGCTTTAAAGTTCAACAAAAATTTCAAAGTTTAGATGAACAAACAAAAAATTTCACTTTAAAACTTTCCAAAAATAGACATTTTCCCTTATTTTTCAACTCTAACATTTTTGTTTGAGCACCTATAATTTTGCTTCCTCCTGTACTTTATAGCAAATTTAATTCTCTATCGAACCATATAAAAACTGTTCGGAAAGGTTTATCCATTACCGAGTTATCACAGATTTACTAACTCAGGTTCTCGCCTCCAAGGGCGTGACGAATTTTGCTTTTTTAACTTAAAAAATTTTCTTCTCTTTTCTTCCTCCTTATTTATTTCACACATTTACATTTTTATTATTATTCCTCCTTTTTAAATTTTGTTGATGACAAAAAGTCACGTTTTTACTTGTTATTTGCCCTTTGCTTGTTGGCCAATGGAAATAAACACTTTTTTCTTTAATATAATCTTTCTAGAAGCGCTTGTAAATGCCATAAATTAAAAATTATTTTTTTGCAGTTTAAAAGCCGGAAATTTATATTTTTTATTAAACTAGTTGTGCCCATTGGGGTATGGCGGCGTAGTGCGTATGCAATTCCTATTAGGATACTCTGGCGGTAAAATTTTGCTATGCCCGTTGGAAAGCCTAACGGCTTTGGGGCGCGCTTCGCGCGCTGCTAGAAACGGTAACATTTGCTATGCCTTTTCATTGCTCCGGCCTTCGGCCCTCGCCGGTAAAGTTTCGCCCTGCCTTTTTATCGCTTCGGGCCTTCGGCCCTCGCGTTTCGTTTTGGGATGGGTCTTAAGCTCGGCCCTTCGGCCCTCGCGATTCGCTTTGGGATGGGTCTTAAGCTCGGCCCTTCGGCCCTCGCACGGCGGGCCTCCGGCCTCCAAACCACGCACACCCAGAAGTTTGACTTGGGCAGTCGACCCTCGCGATTCGTTTTGGGATGGATCTTAAACTCGGGCCTTCGGCCCTCGCGATTCGTCTTGATGGAACTTAAGCCCGGGCCTTCGGCCCTCGCGATTCGTCTTGGGATGGATCTTAAACTCGGGCCTTCGGCCCTCGCGATTCGTCTTGATGGATCTTAAGCTCGGGCCTTCGGCCCTCGCGATTCGTCTTGGGATGGATCTTAAACTCGGGCCTTCGGCCCTCGCGATTTGTTCTGGGATGGGTCTTAAGCTCGGGCCTTCGGCCCTCGCACGGCGGGCCTCCGGCCCGCCGTTTTGGGTCCTTCGGCCCCCAGACCCCCCACACACGAATTTTCGACCTTTTGTAACTTTGTACAAAATGGTCAGAAAATTTTACAAAAAATATTTTTAAGCTCAGCTCGATGAGAGCTTTCGATTGATATAACATTTGCCCTATTTTATGTCATTTTGGAAAAAAATAAATTTTTGGCCGAAAATTTAGACCGAAAATTTCGAGCAATTTTTCAAAAAATCATAACTCCCAAATATAAACCCTTTTGAAACATTTTAAAAGCTTAATATATAGTAAAAATTCTGCTCTATTTTATAAAAATATTTGCAATCACCCTCAGCCTCGATATACCCAAAAAATTTCAAAAAACCGAAAAATTTTGAATTTTCAAAAAATCGACCCTACCAGGCCTCGGGTGAAATTTTTCAAAAATTTAAATAGCTCAAAAAATTTGTAATTTTTTACACTATTTTATGCCCCTTAATTCGTTTGGCTACGACAAAAATGAACAAAGTTACACTCGATTTAAATTTCACCAAAAATTTTCAAAAGGTGTCCCCTTCAAAATGGGTCAAAAATTCGACCTCGAGAAAAATATGTTTTATGGTACTACAATAGGTGCTGAACACGAATCTGAAGTCCTTTTATTTTTAAAAATTTTTTAAAAAAAGTTATACTCAAAAAACCGGCCATTTTTGGCCCCAAAAATGCCACTTTTTGCCCTATATCTTTCTGAGACTCAAGTGTACCCCAAACAAAGTATATATTTTTTATAAAATCAAAGGACGCTCTATAAGCTGGTACACTCAAACCGAACTACGGTTCACGCATTAAAAAGTCGACTTTTTGAGTCTCGCCCCAAGACTCATATCTCACTCAGAAAAAATCCCAGACTCAGGTGTCCCTTATGAAATATGTTCGGAACACTCATGCCTTCAAATAACTCTTCTACACCGAAAAGCTCATCACCCAAAAATTTCACACTATAATCATTTAAAATTTTCAAGACTCAATTGTGCCCCTTAAGACTCAACTCTCCCCCTCACAACCACGCCCATTAATTTTCTCTTGGGCGATTACATATAACCCCCCAAGTTCCATCTCAATCGGTTCAGCCACTCTCGAGATAGAGAAATTGAACAAAAGACCGCTACCCAGTGACCACGACAAAATGCCACCATTTAAAAATGGTTATCCAAGCAAAACGCCACTTTCCCTTGACATTTTGACATAAATTTTTTTTATTCAATATCTACTCATCGAGGGCCAATCGCCTCCCAGCAAGACCTTACCACGTTTCTATTGAACTTTTTCGAGATACCGAAGTGACCCTGGTCGTTTCGGTGCCAAGAGTTCATCGCAGAGCTTAGGTCATAATTTTCCTGAATGCGCCGTAAAAAGTTGCTCCAGAGATGCACAACTTTCAGGAGGCTCCCGGCCTTCGGCCGGGAGCAGGAGTTTTTTAAAATCGAACATCAAGATTTTTACCCCCAAACCCCCCACACCCAAATTTTGACATTTTGTAACTTTGTACAAAAGGGTCAGAAAATTTTGCAAAAAATATTTTTAAGCTCAGCTCAATGAGAGCTTTCGATTGATAAACCATTTGGCCCTATATTTCGATTTTTCCAAAAAAAATTTTTTCGGCCGAAAATTTCGACTGAAAAACTTACGTAATTTTTCAAAAAATCATAACTCCACGAAAATAAATCCTTTTGAAACATTTTAAAAGCTTAATATATAGCAAAAATTCTGCTCTATTTTATAAAAATATATTCAACCACCCTCAGCCTCGATATACCCCACAAAATTTTAAAAAACCGAAAAATTTTGAATTTTCAAAAAATCGACCCTACCAGGCCTCTGATGAAATTTTTCAAAAATTTTAATAGCTCAAAAAATTTGTAATTTTTTGCTCTATTTTATAAGCTTTAATTCGTTTGACTACGACAAAATTGAACAAAGTTATGCCCAATTTAAATTTCACCCAAAAATTTCAAAAGGGGTACCCCTTCAAAAATGGGTCAAAAATTCGACCTCGAGAAAAATATGTTTTATAGTACTTCAATAGGTGCTGAACACGAATCTGAAGTCCGTTTATTTTTAAAAATTTTTTAAAAAAAGTTACACTCAAAAAACCGACCACTTTTGGCCCCAAAAATGCCACTTTTTTGAGTATAACTTTCCCAGACTCAAGTGTACCCCCAACAAAGTATATATTTTTAGAGGTTTCAAGGGACGCTCTACAAGATAGGATACTAAAATCGAGTTTCAATTCACGCGTTAAAAAGTCGGTTTTGGCGAGGTCACTTTGGTACCCATAACTATGTCAGGAAAAAATCCCAGACTCAAGTGTCTCCCAACAAAATTGTAGTACATTTAGTGCCCTATTATACCAAAAAAGAGTTGAAACCATTTGCCCTTTCTTAAGCAATTTTATAATTACATTCGATGGGAGCCACCCTTCACGTTAGGGGTTTTGGACATTTCGGACCTTTGGCGTTCTACAACTTTGCCCAAAATGGTCAGAAAAAATTAAACCAAATTTTTTCAGACTCCCCACATGGAGCTCTATCGAATGACATATAGTTTGAAAATTGTCGGTGATTTTCGTCGGACACCATGTGTCATTTTGGGACGAGATGTGCAATTTTTCCACGAGGCTACAGGTCGGAGAGTTGATCCGAGCCCTCCCAAATTTTTCCTACGATATAGTCCACATCCCAACTTAAAATCCTCCCAGCAAGCATTTTTTGATTCAACTTCACCCTCCCAAGTTATTCCAGTTTGAAAAACCACCCATGGCCGTTTCAGTGCGAAAACGACGTTTCAGTGCCGAGGTCAGATTTTTCCTGAATAGAGCGCAAAAAGTTGCAGGACAAATGTACCCTCAAAAAAATTCCAGCCGCCGGCCTTCGGCCGGCGGAATTTTTGAAAGGGATTTTACGGCCAAAAAGAGGGAGATGTCGGGGTTTTTTATATATATATATAAAAATATTAAATTGTAAACAGGAAAAAAATCAAAAAAATCGCCAACATGTGACCACTTAATTTAAAATGTTTGGGATAATCCTTTACTTAATATTTAATTTTTTATTATACTGTGGGTTTATATTATATTTATGTTTGTTACTCATAATTTGTCATTATTTGTAAATTTATTTGTAGGATTTCAAGAATTGAAAATCACTTTGTTTGCTTAAGACAGTGATGAAATTATTTGTTATCTTTCAGCCTTAAAAGCTTATTTTTCAAATTAATTTCTAAAAAATTGAATACTTAACTAGAAAGATTTTTTAGTCAAAATTTATTTTGACCTACAAAAATACATAGCATATCATGAAGAAGATTTCGCTATCAGTTGTTAAACTTATTTTTATTAAACCATTGTAATTGAATTAAATTATATTGTGTAAATTAAAAATAAATTTACCCATAAAAATTTCTTTTAGTTCAATATCCTTCAGAAATAAAATAATTAAATTTATTCTTTTGTCTTTCTCTTTAACTACAAAAATACCTAAAAAATAAACAACACATTATATTAACAAGAGAAAGTCAAAAATCTTCCAAACGTCAAACTAATTTTTTCAAAAAATGTTTTCTTTGGGCGAAGCTTTTGGAGGCCATCGACAACAACAACACAGACACACTTTAAACGACAATCCTCCTCCAACTTCCTTAACTTCAAATAATTCTGGAAGGGAAGAGGGAATGTTAAGTGCTTTTGGTTCTCCCCCTCCTCCTCCACCGCCAACTTCTAATTCCGCAGCCCCTCCACATTCTCTAGCAGATTTGGCATCAACAGCCAATTCGTTATTGTATGCTTTACAGTCTTCTCAATCGAATGCTGTTATTGCTGCTAATACTATTTTGGTAAAATAAAATTTAAATTTGTATTAGAAGTTGGAGTTTCAGGGTTAAAGGTTTAGTCAAAAATTAAATAAATCCATTTGAATAATATCAACTATTCCAATTAAATTTAATAATAAATAAAAGTGCCTGAGATACGTAATTCCATTTTGTCAAATAGTAATGCTATTTTTTAAGCCAAGCACGTCGCTTTGGCTAAATTTATCGATACTCTCGAATATTTCCCTATGGGTCGACGATCGTGAAAGATACCTTATTTCCAATAAAAAGAAATTCTTTTGAGGTTAAGATCCCTTCTTGGTTAGCCTTCTTTTGAGGTTAAGATTAGAAGTTAAGATCATTTCCAGACTCTGCTTCCCGGTTTTTTTCTTCTCCCGAGCATCACTATACCTTATATGAATTCATCATTGTTGCTTTTGTGAAGATAAATACAAAATGAAGCGGTTTTCTAAATCTGAGTCAATTTTTAATTTTCCCAATGTGTCGCAACTCTATAATTTCACTCAAAGCAGAAATCTTAGCCAAAGTATTTAATTACTTGACTTTCAAAAATAAATTCATTGTTGAACAATCCTTTTATATACCAAAAGTATTAGTAATTTTATTAACGCATAAATGTAATAATCGTTATTTTGCATGATTAGATCATAAATCGGAGATAAGGTATTGTTTTTGTATTAAATTTCCCAGTGCTGTGTTATTTAATCATTTCCATTCCTAATCATATGTTATATTCAATTTTTTATATTAAATAACTCTTCTAATTTTTTCAAAATTTTCTAGCAAAACTTTGTGAGTGCGCTCCCTCACCAAACATCTTCTTCATCTTCCTTGGGACAGAATGCCACAAAAATAAAAAATTCCCAAATCCAACAAAAATCATTTTCTACTTCCTCAACCACAAATATAGAGACAACAAACAATAATTCGAATAATCCTTTAATTAATGGATTGTCTAATAAATACAACAAAACAACTTTATTAGATGATGGAGGGAGATATACCCAACAAGAAATTTTTAATCAACAAAGGTATTTAAGTTACGGAGATTTTTAGACTAATAGCTGCACCATCTTTAGGATTATCCCAAAACTGGAGGGTAATAGGTGTATAATACTATATATAAGGGGCAATATTTAATAATTTATTCCTCATATGGCTACAGCAAGTATCAAATAGCTTGGGCCTTATTATGGGATTGCCCTAATAAACACACAAAAATTACCTTTACTTAATATCTAATATTTTATGCAAACTACTAGAAATAGTTTACCATATTGAATAATATAAGAAGACTATTGGATGATTAATTATTTTTGAAAGCAAGCTATTAAACGCTTTGCTATAATAGTGTATGCGTTGTTTCCTAGAATCCAGTTTTCTAATTTAAGATCCTTTTTAAACTACATGCATAGCAGGGGTGTGCCGTTTCGTCTTTCGCCTTTCGTCTTTCGCCTTATTTTCGTCTTTTTTGGTGTTTCGTCTTTCGCCTTTCGTCTTTCGCTTTTTAAAATGACTTTCGCCTTTTCGCCTTTCGTCTTTCGCTTTTTTGGGCGAAAGGCGAAAATATTATACACCCCTAATGATGGTATGTGAGGAAAAGTTGTTAATTGGGAGAAGAAAAGAAAGAGAAAAACTAAGGACGAGTGGGGATAAATATATAATTTTCTTTTAACTTAATAAAGTAATTGATGGTTGAGTGGTAAGTTGTTTGACTCCGACTAGCGACCATTTTATTATTGTTAGGTTCGGACCAAATTTAGGGACAAGATTTTTATTTATATATTATGAATAGAATAATTATAATTTTTCTATGAAAAAATTATTTTTTTAATTTAAAAAGTGAATTTTCCGTGCCTTAGACACCTTATATTTTCAAAATCTTTGCCTGCGGCGCTTAAAAAGTTAATACAGGTTATTTTCCAGCATAGTGGTATTTATTGCGGCGCAAAAAGGGAAGAAATCTGACTTAAGGACCTTCAAAATTCTCAAAATTTTCGCCTGCGGCGCTGATAAAGGGGATACTTCTCTACTTGGGTAAGCCTCAGTATTTTATTAAAAATTTTGGTTACGGATCCGGATATCGAAATTCTTGTTCGGACAACGGATTTGGATATCCTGGGATTTCCCAAAATCTTTTAACTATATTCACAATTAACGATGGTCGATTTCCAATGATAGGAAAAAATAAAAATTTAAATTTTTCCATACACATCCTCTGATATCCTCCTTAATCACTCTAAATCCTCTGATATCCATAATTTAGTGGTTAAGAAGGTCGTCTTTTTTGGTGTTTCGTCTTTCGCCTTTCGTCTTTCGCTTTTTAAAATGACTTTCGCCTTTTCGTCTTTCGTGTTTCGCCTTTTAAATCGACTTTCGCCTTTTCGCCTTTCGTCTTTCGCTTTTTAAAATCTGTTTCGGCACACCCCTGATGCATAGTATATGTAGGTATTTTAAATGAAAAATTCCCTATTAGTTCTTTGTTTATTTGATTATTTAGTATTTGATCAATTTTAGATATAAAGCAAAAAATTTTTCTCATATAACTTTAAGCTTTTTAGACAACCTATCATTAAAATTTCCTCAATTTTCAGTTCACCATGTTCCTCTTCTCGAAGTACCACACCCACCCCAATGGTATCTTCCACAACAAACCCAAAACCTTTTATTAATGGAAGCAGTGACCCTCCACACTTTCAAATAGGAAAATTCACTCTAGCAGCTAAACTAAATTCGAATAAATCTGAGGGGTGTTTGGAACTTTATGGAGGACAACAACAAAGTAGTAATTCTTCTGCTGATACTCCAACTAATGGACAACCTATGGAAATTAATGTTTGGTTGGTTTATCAGATTTAAGACAAAGTTTTTGTTCTGTGACACGAATATCTGAACGAAATGTAAATTTTAGTCGAAACAAGTCCGACTTTCAAAAATATAACATGCAATGGTACCAAAACCGACAATAACTTACTGGCACTGACAAACTTTATAAAATAGTTATTTGATAAATTAAATATTGTGTAAAATACATTGAACTCTAATTTATGCCCTTTATTAGAATTTATCTTAGCCTGACAACTTTATCTAAATCGAAAATAAAATTTCTAAAAACACAAACTTTTATTTTTCAAAATTTCTAAATTAAAAATTTCAAAATACTCAAAATTTTAATTTTTAAGCAATGTTTGTGGCGACGAAGCTTCTGGTCGTCATTACGGTGCTTCTACTTGCTTTGGTTGTAAAGGGTTTTTTCGTAGAACTGTGCGGGCTAATAAACAGTATAACTGCCGATATGAGGAAAAATGTCAAATTGATAAAGGTAAATTTTAACTTGAATTTTTCGACGAAGTAAAATTAGCGTAGCTTATCTATAAATTGGCCGAAATTATTATAGCATTGATTGCTCTTGTTATTTAACCATGAGGCATGGCTTTCAAAAATATAATCGTCTAAAAAATTTTGTTACATTGTTTGTGGTTTTAGCAACTTTTCTTTCTAATAAATTTAAACGAAATAGTTGCTATTATGCAAAATCGTTAAAATCTTTAAAATTTTTCCGATATGTTTGTTACGAAGGATAAAAATACGACACGATATAAGTTTGTTTTTTGATCCTCTATAACCTTCATGATACAAAAATGACAATTTTAAAGTACCTTTAGGGCCCCTCCCTATTTGAATGATTACAAACTAATTTTTTAGTTGGCCGCAACATTTGCCGTGCTTGCCGTTTCCAAAAATGTTTAACCGTCGGGATGGAACCAGAAGCAATCCGTCCAGACCGCGACAAGACTGGAAAACAACGAAATCCTCGACGCTCTTCCCACACTTTGGGTACCTCCTCTCTTTATTCAAATGGAGGTTATTTTGATGGAACTACGTCTGGGGGTACTTTAACTATAAAATCTCAATCAACAAATACTTCTGTGGCTGGAGAATTAAATCAATTAATTACTGACGAGGATTTCTGTCAAAATAATGGTAAATTTTCTATTTTCTACAAAAAAGAAGATTGATGAACTTGTTTTAGCCATTATAAAATGACTTACAAAAATAAAACATTCCATTTTCCTGGCTACCTTTTTTTGCTGTTTGATTTAAAAAAATATTTAATTTTCAGTAAAATAAAATAATTCATATTATGCAAAATTTTAAAAATTATAACCAAAAAATGTCGATTCCTTTAGGTTCTTCGGCATAACCTTAAAAATAATTTATGAAAACACTAGCTGGGATTCTGTTTTAAAATTGGAAACATGCAAACATTAAAACCAGATTTCATTTAACTGTTCCAAGTTGTAGTGCCGGAACCGATGCTTTGACTTGACTCTGTTCGAGCCATAAATTTTATTATTCTCCATTATTTTCTTAACATCTATCTCAATAATATAAATTAAGGAATGCAAAACGACCCTCTAGCTAGACGAAGAGCCAACACAATAAATGATTTGCGCTCTTTGGCAGAAGAAATTAGGCGTTCTCAAAGAGATCATGACCAACAGCAATTACAACGTATATCTGAAAGTGCGAGTGTTGTTAATGGAAATGGAGGGGCTTCGTCTCCAGAATTTGAACAAATGAGCCAGGAAAAGGCTTTGATTATACAGGTGAGAAAAAGTTGTAATAATTGTTGGGGAGAAAATTTTATTGGTTAATGTAAATGGGGTTGCAATTTACTTGATATTAATTATGTTAATATTATTTGAAGGGAACAAACACTAAAAGTTGTTCCAATAAATACCATGTGTACTTAAGAACAAGTTCCCAACTAAGATTGCTTAATATTAATTAATTTAGTTTGGCTTTATTCAAGTATTTTTAAATTAGTTAAATACTATGTGAGTTTGCCGGGTCGAGCTTGTAGCGTATTTTTGTAAGTCATGTTTAAACATGGCTAAATTTTGAAATTAATTTGGTTAAAGCTTTGAATTGGTTCCAAATTCCATCCAAGCCTATTTGTTTGCATTTTATTCATGTATTTACTTAATGTTAATTAATTTTGTTTGTTTTGGATATAAGTTTGTTAATATAAACCCATTAATACAGTAGTTACGAATGGGCATACTCCTATATTTTTGCAAGTCAAGATTACAACTTGACTAATTCCATGGGGAGATTTGTTTGAGTGTGGGTTGATTAGAAGGTGTTTAGTAATAACAACTTATTTTAAAATAAAAAGACCACAAGTTCAATTCGTATCATGTCTAAAAATCTAAACACGATTTTATAAAACTGTTAATCAAAAAATATTTTTAGACACTTCGAGAGATTGAGCGTATTGTTTGTATATCAGAACAACAACAAAGACAACAATCCCCATTACTCAATTTGTCTCCTAAAAACAAACAAGAATTGGAAGATGATGAAAGAATGCGTAAAGAATTTGATTTGGCAATTAGAGCTGGGAATTTGAGTGAAATGGATCAAATGTTGGCTGCTTTACAACAACCCAAACTTATCGCTGACAGAACTGAGGTGAGGGTGATTTTTTAATTGGGTTGGTAATAGTGTAATTTAAAAAGTGGATGTCTTAAGATTAAATAAGACAAACATAATATAGTAGCCAAGCTATTGACGCCCAGCTTTCAAAAATATGAAATACCGCAATCAATATCGACAAATTCCTTCGCTTAACACAATTTTTAAAATAAAAACGTAAATATACTATTTAATATTATGTAAATTTAAATTTGTCAAAAAATATTTTTTGAAACTTTTTCACAAATCATACACCCAAAAACAACTAAAAATACTCTAAAAGTGATCTCTAGGGTATAAGAGACCAACTTGTTGACAAAGAACAAAAATTCCTCGTGACACCCAGCTGGCGGAAATGTGTAAAAGAAAGTGCAGTGTGAATGTCTATTTTTTCCCTTTTCTTTTCTATTAGGACAAAAATAAAAAGAGAAAAAAATATTTTTGAGTGTCTGCCAAATTGGGTCTTGTCTCCGTCAAAAAAATTTCTTTTTGGTCGTTGTGCCATTAAAAAAAGAAAAAAAGAGCGTTGGCGTGAAAATCAAGACGCGACATTTGCGAACACGCAAATTGCGGTCATAGGCAAAATATATTTTAAAATTTAAAGAAAAATTTTACTTCATATATCTTATCACTGATAAAAATTTTTGTAATCCCCTTTAATATTTCTGCCCATAAAATACGTCCTATGACATTTACTAAACAGAAAAGCCCCAATTGTCGTGTTCGCAAATGTCGCGAGGATGTAAATAAATAATAAAATAAGAACAAATAGATCGTTGGTCGACGGGAAAAGACTAAAGTCCATTTGGCGGAAATTTTAAAATAAAAATGTAAATAAATAGTACAAATTTTATAAAAGTACATATGTAGATGAGAATAACCGCGTGAAAAAAAAGAAAAAAGGAAAAACATTTTTAGAGGGAAATTTAAGTTAAAATTTAGGGGGATTTTAGGGTAAAAACTAAAAAATATTTGTATTTTTCGTGCCTCTTTAGGATTTCAGTAATTCAGTACTTTTAGTCTAGCCAAATGTGACCGACTTTCAAAAATATAATCATTGTCGTACTACATCCGGATATTTCTCTAAACATTAGTGCCGATTATATTAGAATTAATTTGAACTAATATATATGTTGCAAATTCATATATATGTTGCAAATAATATAATATATATGTTGCAAATTTTTTTTCTAGTTAAATTATTCTGGTACTCGATCACTCTCAGAATGGGCAGAATTACGTTATGCTTTACGTCGACAATTGTTGTTAGCTATAGACTATGCTAATACACTTAAACCCATTGCTGATTTGGCACAAGTGGAAAGGGTGAGGATTTTTTTGTGAAAATTATTTTGCATCTCAGAAATGGTCCATGATTTTTTTAATTTTTGGCCTGCAAAATTGAGATCCGAGCTTAATTCTGGTTTGATTCTCTGAATTAAAGTTTGGGTGATTTGATGTCCTCCCTTCTCTAAAAATTTTATAAGGTGTTCTGTCTTCAATTTTTGCCTTTTTTTCAGTTGTCACTCCTACGAGGCACTCTGTTACCCTTTACTGTCTTTGCTGTAGCCTGTCAAAGTGCATTTGCACATCGAAGTGAACACATTTTGTTGCCAAATGGATTATTTATTGATGCACACACTGCTTTGGATTTACTTTTGCCTAGAAAGGGGGCAATGTGTCCTCCAATGCTTCGATGGCGTTTGGAGACTATTAGGGCTGAATGGCTAAATACTTTGGTTAGTTTTTTGGGTTTTTGAATATTACAGGGGTCCATTAGGCTTGGTTAAGGATTATAAAGTGAATTAACGAAGCAACCGAAAATTCAGTAAAGAAATATGTAGAGCCTACATACTACTAAATTAGCCGTTTTTTTACAAAGTATATGTTATTTAAATTAGATTCATATATGTATAAAATACATATATAGACATAATTCGGAGAGGGATGATATTTTTGTTGTTTAATTATTTTTGTAAGTTGAGCATGATGCTTGACTAAAAATCTAAGTTGAGTACTTACAATGGAAAAACATATCCATATGATCGAAGGATCTGTTAACGTCTGACATCAATTTAATTTTTACATTTCAGCAGCCATCTCTTGAACAACTTTCTCTTAGCGAAGTAGAATATGTTACTTTAAAGGCAATAATTGCTCTCGAACCTCATACCCCAGGGCTAGGGAGAGAGACTATTCGTCTGCTTAATGTTGCTCGAGATTCAGTTCAAAATGCTCTCTTTCTGCATTTGGTAGATCAATGTCCACAAATGCAATTGGCAATTGGACGTTTTGGAAGATTGTTAATGCTTGTTACGAATATTACGGTAAGGGATTTGGGAAAAATTATAAGCGGGGGTTAGTTTATGGACCATAACTTCTTAACGGATGAACAAATTCTTAAAATTTTTGATTTTAATATCGAATGATAGTAAAATGTTTCTCAGACATATTAGAGGGTTATACCTTTGAGCCTAGATGTACAGCTCAACTTATGAGCCCCTTATGATAATTAAATTTTATTTAAATTATTTTCTGAGGGCTTTTGTTTAATATAAATTATTTAATTATTAATTAAAACATTATAAAAATTTTTTTAGAAAATTGCTTCACACATTTCCAACTTGGTCCAAGCATTCGTTGAATATCAACAACAACAACCAAACTTGAACACCATTGAACCTGACATTCTTTTGACTTTTCTAACGTTTACACAACACAATTCAAATAATTCTTTAATGAATGGAGACGCTCGAAGACGTACCTCTGCCGCGTCTTCAAGCAGTTCTGGCACTTGTAGCAGCAACACAGACAGTCCAATGATGCGTGGGACGGTGTCGACACTTGCCGCTGAAGCAGCGGAAGAGGAAGATGATGAAGAGGAAGAAGGGGATGATGAAGAGGGGGAAGAGGATGATGATGAGGAATTGAGAGATGAGGAAATACAAATGGAGTGAATCCAAATATTGACAGGCTATTTAATTTTTTCAAATTTGGCGGTGTTTAGGCGTTATGACTTTTAGGGAAAAATCGTTTTGTGAAAAAAATTTTAATTTTTTGAGGCACGAACAGAAAATTTGCACCATACTATTCCTGAATTGTTAATTGTTTACCGATTTTGTTATATATGAAATGCCAGAACTATTATTTTTTGGTATTTTGATTCCCCTGAAATATTCCATTTTTTTATTTTTATGTTGTTTTTTGTTACAAAAAAATGCCAAAAAAATTTTCTAATATATTTGATTTTTCTGATTTATTAAGTTAGGAAAAAGTGATTTATAGTAGCTTTCTAAACCTCATAATGGTTTTTGAACTCCGCCTTGAACATCCGAAACTGCTTTACATTTTAAAATGATTGCGCTTTAGAAGCTCAGTCTTTTAATCATTCCCAGAAGGCTATTTACTCTTAAAAATGTTTAATTGCAGAATTTCTTTGGCATTTTTAATTTTATTTTATTGAATAAAGCCCGTTATTTTTACCAGAAAGCTGCCGTTCCTTTCTTTAATAATTATTTTTATTTAATCATTTACCACAATTGAGAGAACTTTATCCAAATAAAATGCAAAACACTCGGCTCTTTCAATTCCACACCTCAAAATTATTTTTTGTTTGTTAAACGTTAAAAATCTTTTCTGTTTTAACGTGTTTCCTCATTCTTCAAAACTTTCATTTACTCCGTATATAATATTTAATTAATTAAAATGAGCATGAAACGAATTTCAAAACCTCCGCGATTTTCTTTCTTATTACACTAAAATTGGAATATAGTAGAGAAGTGAACCAGACGAGATTTCTAAAAAATTGCATTATTGAGATCGATAAGTTTTAAGATATGTCTTATGACCTTGTAATCCCTTCTCTATATATAGTAAAAATTCCAAGCTCTATTTTATGAATCTTAAATTAAGACCTTCCTTCAGTTTTTTCGTTATTGATATTGGCAAGTTTTCGTGGACATCTCTACTATATAGCCGTATCTTGAATATTATGATCATTACAATCATTCTTTATATTTAAAAGGCTAGGTAATTTAACTAAATAATTTTGAAACAATAGTATTAAATTTCCTAGCCTTAACCTGTTATTTTTAATTAATTACCACATTCTTTTTCAATTTATGCGGACATACCGATGGCACAAATGTGTAAATAAACATTTGAAAATAAATTTGATTAGATAATTTGAAATTACTTTGTTCTATTTCTGTTTTTAATCTGCTTTCATTTTCTCCCTTGAATATTCCACAGTATATCCGGTGTTATAAAGATTCGTAAATTTAAAATATATCTATATTTTTTATTGGAATTTTAACCAATTCTTTTGTAGTAAAATATAGCGAAACTTGTAACTCTAGGGATTTCAATATTTGTTGGACGTCTAAATACTGTAAGGATGATTCATCCAGCAGCATTTAAAACGCTTAGTCGGGGGTTAAACGATCTAAAAAGGAAAAAGAGAAAGCATTAGTCGATGCCTCGGTAGCTCAGAGGTAGAGCTCCTGCATATAGTGAGCGAAAGCGCCTAGCAACAACTAGCAGGTGGTCGCAGGTTTGAATCCTGGCCGGTGGCTAAAGTTTTGCAAACTCTTTCTATACAAAAATCATTTCAACATTTATCCACTGCTCAAGAATGGCAAGAGTGGACTAAGCTCTTAGTTCACTGAAATAGGGCTAAACTTATTTCTAGGGTCTAAAGCCGCTATTAGTATAACGGTCTTTCAGCTATCAGTAAATAGTTTTTGAGCTGATATTATCAGCAAACATAAATCCAACATTCTCTTGAAACAAGTTTCGTGTTTTTTTATGTAATATTCGTATATATTTTTAAATAAAATATACATCGACATGGCTAGTTTTATAAAAATTATTTTTCAAATATTTTATATTAAGTAGATTTTTTACAACTGTAATTTAAAAAACTTTAAATAATCGCGATTAGTTTTTTTCCAGTTTATATTAAAATTGTATTAGACATCCTCTAGTTAAATGTTACTATGATTATTTTTATATATTTAGCGACTTTATCTTTCTTTTAAAATTTTTTTAATTTTTAAATTTAAATATAACATATCTTCTAACATTACCGTTGGGGCTAGGGTAGATAAAATTGTTATAATTTCTCCATAACTCTAAAATTTTGTATAGATTTATCAAATTCGATACTGGAATCACTAAAAATTTCAAAATCTTTTAGAATACAATTAAATCTAAATTAAAAGTTTTGTATTTCACATTTTATTGTCGAAAATTAGGCAGTTTTCTCGACTTTTGACCATAACTTTTGAGATACAAAACTAAAAATTCTGAAACCTTCAGCGAGGTCGATAACACAAAAAGTATATCCAGCAAAATCTCAGAAATTTAGTAAATTTTTTGAAAATTTAATTAACTCAGGTTTTCTCTTTTACGAGACGTTGTCGAGTTAAATTAATTTATAAATTTACAGAAAAATAATTTAAAAAATTAAAATTTTTAAAAAGAAAGATAAACTTTACACAATTCTTTATTATATTTTTTAAATCTCCCGCGTGATTTGTTAACTTTAAAAACTTTCAAAATTATGTTTCTTCCTTTCCTTTCCCATTCCTAAAAACAATTCTTTTTTACTCCAGTGAAACAAACAAAATAAAATTATATTTTTCTTTAAGAAACAAGAATAAAAAATTTGAAAAAGAATTGTTAAAAAATTTTGAGTTTATTTATGTCTGGGTCTCATGTTGGCTACGGTCTCCGGGTGTAAAATAAATGGATAATATTATGGGATTTGGGTATATTAGGAGGATTTCGTATGATATTAGGTGATTAAGAGGGATATTAAGTAATTATGCGGGATTTGGTGGATTAAGATGTATATTGTTTGATTAACGTTGCTTTTCCTCATTTGAGATTTTTTAAATATCATTGGCGTGCATTAATCAAAATATTAAAAGATTAAGGACGCGAGATCAAGAAAAATCCGCAGTTGGATCCTGCCCTAATTCAAATACATGTTTGAAGTGACTCTGCAAATGGTTGGGATTTCTACCTTAACTCAATTACATTTTAGTTTTTGTTTTTAAGTAAATATCTTTGATATTTTGTTATATGATATCTGAATCTATAACTAAATTTCTGCAAAAATAACTTTAGAAAATTTTATTTTAAATTTTAATTATTTATTTTTAAATCAATTTTCTATATTTTTTCCACGTAAGAATGGCGCGCATCTTGTAAAGCAGGGCATCCTATGCTATAGTGCAACCATGCTGGCAATGTTGTTTACTTCATTGCGCGGTTATTTTTAAAGAAGAAACGCTCTCGTTGGGAACAAAATAGCAAAAAACACGTAAGAATACAAATAGAAAAATACATTTTGAAATTATCGAATTTAGGGAGCGCACGCATCTGTGTCTAATGCCGTGTTTACAAAGGCGTCTTGCGTTTTATGGCAAAAATAGCATTTAAAAATAGAGACAAAATCGCTCTCATTTCTCTCTCTCTCATCTCTCTTTCTCTCTCATCTCTCTCTCTTTTCTCTCCCTCACTTTCTCATCTCTCTCTCACTTTCTCATCTCTCTCTCTCTCTCTCACTTTCTCATCTCTCTCTCTCATTTCTCTCTCTCTTCTCTCTCTCATCTCTCTCTCTCTCATTTCTCTCTCTCTCATAAAAATCCTTCTCAGTCTAAAAGAAAAATATTTTTAAAGCCAAATTAAAGACCCGACTCTTTAAACGAGAGAAATCCTAATCCATATACGCGCGCATTTTTATATATTTAAATTGACAGTCAAGCAGCTCAGATTCATTTACAGCCTTCTTTTTAATTTTAGAATTTTTTGTATCTTTAAAATTTTTTATTTTAAATTAAAATAAAAAATAATTTATAAAAAATAATAATAATAATTAATAATGAATATATCAATATGATAATCCCTTCATTTTTGAATGATGGGAGATGATATCGTTTATTTATACCCAAACTACCAAGCTTCTTTCAGGAACATCCAGATTTTTAGAAATTTTCTTTTAATAATCTCATAATATAAGTTAATAAACACAAACCATTATGATTTTTTAAAAATTTTAGATGAATTTTTCTAAAACTGGAATCATTCTATTTACTTTTTTTATTAATTTGATTTAATAGAATGCGGTAATGGCAAAGAAAAAGCTGGTGAAGAACCTTCTTCACCACGAAAAGTTGAAGAGACCGAGGGACGCTCAAGAGGCAGAGAACGTGGGCGCATAGAGGGTGGCCAAGGACCACCTAGCGCGGGAGAAGGAATGCCTGAACATGGAAGGGCTGGGCAAAGAATTGTTGGGCATGGAATAGCTGGCGAGCGACTGAATATTGGACCAATGCGAGTAAAATACAAATCATCTGATTTGCCACCTAATTTTACGGAAGAATATCGAAAACGAATGGCAGCAATTCAAAATAAAGGAAAAGGAATAGAATTTGATGAAGGAGGAATTCCAATGAGAGTTAAGGAAAAGTCAGAGATTCAAGGAAAAGGGAAGGAGAAAGAAAGTAAGATTTTATTAGTTAAATTGATATAAAATTTTGAATTACGGGCTGCTTGGAAAAGCATATGCCTCACTGTCTATTTTAACGAAATATACAATTTTTTAATACTAGATTATCGTGTTAAGAGTTTCGCAAAATTTTATGCACCGGGCAGGATTCACGGGGCGATAGTTACCGTATTTACTCGATTAATTCCCTTGGGAAATTATTTTTCAACTCATCCGTAGCAGGGGGAATTATTCGATAGAGGGGAATTATTCAAGGAAGAGGAATTAATTGATAAATACGGTAATGCTCTTTCTCTTTTCTCCTTATGCTCAGTCCTTATGCTCACTTTTTCTTTTCTCCTTATGCTCATTTAAACACTTCCTAAACGTTTAAATGATGCTATGTAAATCATCCTTACATCATCAAATAACCCCATATCTAAAGATATGAAATGCGACACCTTTCTGGTCAAGTTCTTGGTTCAGCTTTTTGGATCTTTTTCCTGATATTTTTACTTTTGGCGCTGAAAAAATAATTATAAATTCAATAATTTAAATACTAAATATTAATACATATTATTATAAAATAAAATATAAGTAATGATTTATAAAATATTAAGAGCCAACATTTGAGCGCATGTGGAGTTTTAGAGCCAGCTTTTCACCTGGCAGAAAGGTTATTAATGAATATGGATTACCGCCTAGAGCTCCAGCTAAGAAAACACAACGAATAGGTTTTGATTTTAAAATTTTTGTTAAAAATTTTTATTTTTTAAAGACTCCAGAAATTCGAGAATTTCAAATACCGTCATTCCTGTTAAAGAAGAGACCATTTCCGAAGAAAAAAATGAATCAGATGAAGAATAAATGTCTATGAAATTTAAAGAAGAGAAAAAAGATTATAGGGGGTTCTTTCTAAACTTTAAAAACTTTCAAAAATTGCATTTTTTTCCTTTCTCTTACCATTCCTAAAAAACTATTTATTTGCAACAGTGAAAAAACTAAACAAAATTATTATGTTTTAAAAAAAACAGTAGTATAAAGATTTTTTAGAATATTTAAAAATGTTTTGTTTATTAAATTCTGGCGGGATTACCTCCCAGCCTAGCAGATCAAAAATGAAAGCGTCGTATTGGTTGTGTTTAAATGTGGGATTGTTTGTTGGTTAATAAACCTCATCGGTGAACTAATAGATTGGTTATTTTTCTAAGATTGGTTCATTACCATTAATATATTTATGACCTCTTCTATACAGTGTCAAAAGAATCTTATTTTATCTTCTTTTGATTAACCTCTTCTTCCTTTGAAAAGAAAGAATCTAATTCAATTACTTTTAGTTTCTATTGAAAAAATAAGAATGAAGACTATTCGTTTGATTTGTAAAAAATATAAGAATGAAGACAATATGGCTAGTGAAGGATATATTATATATTACAGCCAATGTAAATAGTATAGGGGTCAAGGTTGTTGCTTAGTTTAATGAAAGCAATTTTTTATTGTAAATTGAAATCCTAAAGAAAAATGAGTTGGAGAATTTTATGATTAATGTGTGTAACAAATGGGGAAGTGAATATGCTTAATAAGAAAAGTTAAAGAAAGAATAAATAATAAAAAAGGGAATTTGGACTTAAATAAATATTTTTAGATCGTTATCTTTAATTTTAGTTTTCTTCAGGTTTTCTTCGTTTTTCCGACTTAAGCGGCAAAATAGTCGAAACAACAGTCTGCCTTTTTAAAATTCGAATTTTTCAAAAAATAAATCGAACCATACTAATTATAGTGTGATTTATGACTTATAACTGGTTATAACTCGCAAAATATGGCCCTCAAATATTGAAACAAAATGGCAAAATTTTGACAAAAAATGCTAAAAAGTAGCTAAATATTAAAATAAATTATCGTTTATTCACTAACAAAACCCCCCAAAAAAGTTAAAATTAAAAAAAACAAATTAATCACGTTTTTAAAATTGCAAATTATCTTTATAGTTCGACGAATTTAGCATTTTTACTCTTTTAGGCATTTTGAAATTAACGAAATCTCCCGCAAAATGTATTTATCTATGGCAGAGAGCGGCTAGAACTTTAAGAAATTTCGAACATCAAAGTGTCAGAATCATAAAGGGTCGAAATTTTAAACGGATATCAGCTTAAAATTTTAAAAACCGTAAGACGGTTATGTTGAAATGCCAAAAGGATAAAATTCCAACAATAAATGTTTACAAGTCGCGTTACTATCACATAATACCATCACATGTCCGCAAATGTTTCGTCGCAAAAGTCTCTCTCTCTTTTCCTCTCCTCACATAAAGATTTAAAAAATGTTCATGGATTAATTTAATTAATTCAAGATCAGGGTTGTCGATTCCTGGAAAATCTTCGGATATTCGGAACCGAATCCAAAAAACCTTGGTTCTTCGGTTCATTGCAGTTTTAACCTACAATCTTTTTCATTACACAGCATTACTATGAATATATCAGACATGCCGAATACAACATTTGTCAAGATCCTTGAGGAATTTCTGTTCAGACAAGAAAGTAGATTTTTTGAAAAGATTTGTAAGGAAATATAAGTGATTCAGTCTCCGAAACATTTTTTCATCCTTATGAGAGGAAGAAAAAAGGAGAAACTTTTGCGGACAAAAATGAGCGGACATGTGAGACTATAATGAGATAGTATCCAAATCTCTCTTATTGATAATTGAAAATATTTTTGCATTCATTAGAAAGCTATGGCCTAATTTAATTTTTCAATTTAATTCTTCATATTACCAAATTAATATAAAAAGAGTAAATCTAACAAATTTATCGTTAAATAAAGTGTATGTTGTAATAAATCACAGAATAAACATGTAAATACCTAAAGTATTTATTGTTTCTTCTATATCTGTGAATTCTACTGAAATGAATTTTGTCTAAACTACATGTAGCAAAATGCTTTACGTATATACATTTCTCTTCGTTTGTTTAGTCAATTTTGTGTTTATCAACTTCCTCTTCAGCCTTCAATTTCTCAATGATCCTCATTATTTCCTTCATCATCAGAAATAACAATAACATTTTGTGAACGGTTAACAGTTGAATCTACAATATTAATAATTAAGCGTAATAAAAACTAATTTTAGAGAAGAGGGGAAACTCAGTTAAGTTTTACATATAAAAAAAGAAAATATATTTAAGTATTATAATTAATATAACCCGGGCGCCCGGGACAACCCACCACAGTTGCCAAATGCACCACAGTTTCCAAAAGGCACAGTCCCTAAACGGTGCGTTCGGGGCCAAAGGCCCCAAACGCCTCGGGTCAACCTACCGCAGTTGTCAAATGCACCTCATCTGCCAAAAGTCACAGTATCCGTCTAAACAGTGCGTTTGGGGGTTAAGGCCATCTAACGCCCCGGGTCAACACACAACAGTTACCAAATGCACCACAGCCTTCTAAATGGTGCGCTTGTGGGCCGAAGTCCCACAAACGCATAACGAAAAGGGGGTGAGGCCTTCGAACTGCTAAGCCAATGAATCTAAACGCATTAACGTAAATCGCCAAGCAAAAAACCATTCCAGCGTGCTTTTAAAGACGAGGCTTTCCACGCGCGTCCCTAGACGCATCCCCATAGCGCCGCAGAACCAAACGTTCCCCAAGCGTGACCTAACCGCCACAGTGTACTGATATACACCCAGCTACTCTCTCTTCAGCTAGTTAATTTAAATAAAGTAATTAAATAAATTAAAAACCAACCACGTCCACGGTTACCACGGCTTTGATTACCACGTCCACGATTACCACGGCCACGTTGACCGTCTCTGCCAGCTTGGCGTCCTTGTACAGTATGTCCATGTCCAGTAGCATGACTTCCTTCTATAATAGAATATATTAAAATTCTTGTGAAAAAATTTTTAATTTTAGTAGAGCGGAGCTGGGCTATAACTATTTTCTTCTTCAGCTAGTGCAAGAGGTTATCCGGCAGCTGGGAGTGAACCAGCATCTCAAGTTGACTGGACCGATGTTTTATCCACTACACCAAGCCGACTACTGTATAGCTTTATGAAATAAATAGCTATCTGACCTACATTATTTAAACAATTTCTGAAACTTTTATATACAAATGAATATTAAGTATTTAATGCAAGAAATGAGAATTGCTTAATAATTAGCTAGAAAGTTAGGATTTACCTGGGATTGCTGAAGATGCTCCTTGTTCTTGTTGATTTATCCATGCGTTAAAAGATTGAACACCTTAGTATAAATATGTATATAAAGTATATATATATCAGAATTGCGTTGTTCACGATAAGAATAGGCTACTATATATATACGCAACGTTTAGATGTGGGAGTATACCAGGTCTTTTTCCCGTTCTACTTTTTCCTAATATTTACGGAATGGTCAGAACTTGTTCCTTCCTTAATTCCAGTCTATTGGCATAAACAGATAAATTTGGATTACTTCCAACTCTCAATATATCCCAAAAATATATAAACATTGAATAATTTTTTATGTTAAAATAAATATTATATTACTAAATTTTTTGACATTCACTTTAAATGATCTAAAAGTCAAAAGATGACTACGTATCTCAACTTATTTACATTTTCATTTAAATAAAGATAAATATAAAAGTGAACTTGAAGGATGAGGTATGATTTGAAAATTTTGTGGCATAGGATCTGCTTGAGCCATTTGTTGGTTTAACAAATCAGTAAACGACATCTGATGCCCTTAAATAAATATTCACTTAATACACTCATATCTATCAGAAACTTTATAAATAATTTATCAAAAGTCCAGTTGAAAAAAATTTAAAAAATTATCATTTCGCGCCGGAGGCAGATATATTAAAATTTTCAGGTTTCGTTATTACGGCAATTTGGCAAGCTTAACAACTGAAACATGTTTTTAGTATCCTTAAAGGCTAATACCTTGACCTTTTCGGTAATTCTTCGGTTCGTATTCCCCCTCTCTTTTTTTCTGACCATTTTTTCATTTTTCCTTCCCTTTCTCCCTTATTTTACAGGAGAAAAGTAGGGTTATTGGCGACCGGTTAAAAACCGGTACTCTCTGTTTTCAGTTTTGCCGGTTTACGCCCCCGGTTTTCGATTGACCCCTGGTTTTTGGTTAATCGAAACCGGTTTATGCCTTAATTTGCCATACAGAATATTCAATTCATATTTTATCCCATTTTTATTGTTTCACCGGAACCGAAATTTTGACAGAACTGGATCCAATTTAAATTCCGATTCCCGGAATCTGAACCGGAACTTTAAAAATTTTTACTGGCAAATTTTAAATAATTTTATTTTAATTAGGGGTGTCATGAAAAATAAGGGATAAAGGGAAGGAAAAATGAAAAATGGTCAGAAAAAAGAGGGGGGAATACGAACCGAAGAATTACCACCTTTTCCCATATATTAGACAATGAGAACGAAAACATAGGAGAGTCAAGCTAATTTGGTACTTATTTAGTTTCCCCGCCCTCCCCGTCAATTTTTTAGAAAAAATGTAAAAATGGTCAGTCTGTACAAAAAATGTAGATGCCAGCATCGCGATATGCTGGATATGGAAATCGCGATATGCTGGAAATTGCGAAAATTAAGCGATCTTATTCTTTTGCGTACTAAACCTAGCAACCATTGTTCGTCTAGTTACTTTCTACTTTAATGCAACAAAAAAAGAGGAAGATAAAGGGCATGCGTCCCGCCTAAATCAAAAGGATCTTGACAGAAATCTTAGATCATTTTTGCTTTTATATCTCGACTCAGTCTCGAATTTTCTGGGCTGATTTTTGTGTATAAATCATTTAACGGCCAACCTTGTTGAAGAGGATGTCCAGTATATTGAGTAGTCGGGGCAAAACCAGTTGGAAGCAGACGATGCTGTATCTGTTGACCAGCCATATAAGGTAGAGGTTCTCCACCTTCCCATCTATAATGAACCGGATTAACATCATGAACGACATCATCCTCAACAACATGTCCTAAAATTAAATATATTATTTGTTTAATTTTCCAAAATGACTGAATAATAAATTTGTCAAAATATATTTTTCGCTGCAAATAAAGTCACATGATTACATGTGCCGAAAAATTCCTCAAATAAGTCTGTCTTAAGTTAGCCGAACATTTATTACCATCAAAATAAATAAAATATGTATATTATGTAACAGGGCTGGAAAATTTTGAATTTTAAAAAGCGGAAAGCTGAAGTGGAAGAAAATCCAGCCCTTTATGTATGTTTATCACGACTTTAGGTTACACCATAAAACTCTTAAATTTTATTTTTAGAAAATTTATTTACCGGGAAAATTTCGGAGTTCAGCCATCTTCTTCGTCAAAAATTCATCCATTTCTTTTTTGTTTTCCTTTGCCATCTGACGCATTTCTTTTGAAAATTCAAAATTATCGAGATAGTTCTCCCTGCCTTGATCATATATAGCATTTTCTTTTTTCTTTAAACTTTTCTCCCTTTCATTTTGGAGCTTAACTATTTTTTTATTTTTCTTTTGCATATTTTGCATTAACTTTTCTGGTTTAATACGTAGATTTCTGCGAAGCTCTTGAGGAAGATTTAACCGTTCTGTTGCATTTTGGAGCTGATTTATCATCTCAGTATGCTGTTGCAAATGCATCAACCGTTCTTGCATAAGAAGTTCATGTTGATTTTGAATTTCATCGTCAAGATTTGGGGCATGGCCCTCTGTTGGTCCCATTTCGTGTTCCTCATTCCAGTTTTGGGTCGGTTCACTTTCACGAGTTGGTATATGTGCATGACTTCTTCGACTTCCTCCTCTACGACCTTGACTACTTGCTCCCCCTTCTTGTCCGGAAGATTCTTCCCCAACTTTACCTTTTCCTTTATTATCCATACATTCTACTATCTCCCAAAAAATTAAAATGGAGAACAGAAAAATTCCAAACTTGGACATTTTAGAATTTACCTTTAAATATATGGAAAATATAATAGAATTTAGTGAAAATTTTAATATTTTTAAAAACATTTGCTTAATCGTAATTAATATAAGAAAGGCAAAAGTCCTGCAATGATGCATGGGACCTTGCAGTAATGAGTTTTTCTGCCTTCGTTAAGGCGAGAATTCTTGCTGTGGAAAAATTCATTAGATGGGAGATGGAATTGACCCATCATGGAATGAGCCCAGACCGAAGCACAACCGACTGTGCCCAACCCTATGCTGGGTTATTTATTTTCATTTATATTCCTTCTGGAAGTGCTGACACAACAATTAGATTCAGGGTGGGCATTTCCAAATCGCCAAAAGGGGGCATGGCCTCTCAAAAAGGGGGCAAAAAGAGGGATTATTTTAAAAACTTATAAATAATTTTAATTAATATAAAAATTTATAGTTAAAAAATTTTTTAAAGCTAATAAAGACAATTTTTAATAAAAAGAAGAGGGTAAATGAATTAAAATGCTTGCCCTGTCTATTTAAAAATATAAAGCTGCGCGCGTATATAGATTTGGATTTTACTCGCTGATAAAGGAAAGGGCCTCTAAATTTTAAAAATTTGCTTTAAAAATTATTGCCTTTTTTGGTAATTTGTATTTATCTCTATTCTTAAATATTTTTTACTATTTTTTCCCCAACTTCGCGTTCATTTTACAAACAAAATTGCGCAATTAAGATGCCTGTAAGGCATTAGATGCTCTAACCTTGCAATTCTATTTTACTGTAATTAGGAATAAATTTCAATTTAAATAAATATTTTAGGTTCAAGTCGCTATTGTAAAGCATATAGTTATTTAATTCCTAAGGTGTAGAATAGGCGGCGTGGTTACTGGATAACACATCAGTCCGGTCTATTGAAGAAGCTGGTTCGCTCCCAGCTGCCAATTAACGTTTTGCACTAGCTAAAGGAGAGAAATAGCTATATCCCAGCTGCTTTAGCAATCACCAAATTTAATTATGATATATTTTTTTATTTTTCAACTAGGACCAATTTTATTAGGCGTATGAGAAAGAAAAATAACTCCAGAAAATTTTATTTTAAATTTTAATTATTTATTTTGAAATCATTTTTATTTATTTCACGTGAAAATGGCGGGCATTTTGTAAAGCAGGCATCATATGCTATGTATAAGTGCATATGCTCGCAATGTTGTTTACTTAATTGCGCGATTATTTTTAAAGAAAAACGCTCTCGTTGGGTATAAAATAGAATAAAACAGCTACGCGGCCCCCCAACGCGGCCCATCACTAATGAAGGGCATAGCCACGAGCGTCAATCTAAGAAGGAAGGGTGAGGGCCGAAGACCCAACGCGGCCTATCACTAATGAAGGGCATAGCCCGACGCGCTTCCAACTAAAAAGGAAGGACGAGGGCCAAAGTTCGGAAGCCAAGCCCATCCAAGAGGATTTTAGTCCCTACTTCTACAAACTAATGGTAAGCTCCGAAAAAAGTATATATTTCCCAAAATTCACAAAAAAGCTACAAATTAATCTAAACACATTTAACATAAATCTCCAAGCAAAAAATAAACCTAGCACAGTTTTAAAGCCACAGGCTTTCAATGCGCGTCCATGTACGCGCCTCCAAAGGCACTCCCCCAACGTAACTAAATGCTGATGTTCATATGCATGCTGTTACTAAATCCATGGCTGGTTTTCAATTAAATATATTAGATATTTAGCTATATAATTTCCGAAATTATAACGTAATTTCTGCGTATGAGAAAGAAAAATAACTCTAGAAAATTTTTATTTAAATTATTATTATTTATTTTTAAATTTATTTTTATTTATTCCACGTGAAAATGGCAGGCATCCTGTAAAGCGGCATCCTACAAAGCCTATGTATAAGGGCAACATGCTCGCAAGGTTGTTTACTCAATTGCGCGGTCAACTTTGAAAAACGCTCTCGTTGGATATATAATAGCGAAAAACAGTTAAGAATATAGAAAAATACATTCTGTCTAATTAAAATTATCGAATTTAGAAGTCACACGCATCCATGTCTAATGCCGTGTATACATAAAAGTCTTCTTGCGTTTTACGGCAAAAATAGCATTTAAAACAAGCATTTAAATAACTTCGGGTCTCCGGCCCTCGTCCCCCACACGGGACTCATCCTTTCACTTGAGTCACTTCGGGCCTTCGGCCCTCGTCCCCCCACATTTGGGAACATTTTTGCACTTTGGCCCTAATCGCCCTCGCCTCCGGCCCTCTTCCTGCCACCGTTGGGGCTCATCCTTCCGTTTTGGGAGATTAACCAACTCTAGATAATTTTATTTTAAATTTTAATTATTTATTTTTAAATTTATTTTATTTATTCCACGTGAAAATGGCAGGCATCCTGTAAAGCGGCATCCTACAAAGCTTATGTATAAGGGCAACATGCTCGCAATGTTGTTTACTTGCGCGGTTATTTTTAAAGAAGAAACGCTCTCGTTGGGTATAAAATAGCAAAAAACAGTTAAGAATATAGAAAAATACATATTTCAAAAGTAAATTATCGAATTCAGGGAACGCACGCATATATGTCTAATGCCATGTTTACATAAAGGCGTCTTGCGTTTTACGGCAAAAATAGCATTTAAAAAAGGAGAGACTAAATCGCGCTCATTTTCTCGCTCTCTCTCTCATAAAAAAGGAGAGACAAAACGCGTCTAATTTCTCTCTCTCTCTCATAAAAAAGGGGAGACTAAATCGCGCCTCGTTACTCTCTCTCTTTCTCTCTCTCATAAAAAAGGAGAGACAAAATCGCGCCTCGTTACTCTCTCTCTTTCTCTCTCATAAAAAAGGGGAGACAAAATCGCGCCTCGTTACTCTCTCTCTTTCTCTCTCTCATAAAAGTGAGAGACAAAATCTCGTCACATTTCTCTCTCTCTCATAAAAAACGGGAGACTAAATCACGCCTCATTACTCTCTCTCCCTCTCTCTCATAAATAGGAGAGGCAAAATCGCGTCTAATTTCTCTCTCTCTCTCTCTCATAAAAAAGAAGAGACAAAATCGCGTCTAATTTCTCTTTTTTTCTCTCATCTCTCTCATTTCTCTTTCATCTCTCTCTTTTCTCTCATCTCTCTCTTAAATTCTCAAGGCCATTTTTTGCTGCAAAACGCAAGATGTAAACACGGCATAAAGACTTGCATTTAAGAATTCTCTTATAAAAATTTTTATTTTGAACGTCAAAAATATTTTTTGCAAAATCCTGTCAATATTCTCTCTATTTTAAAGTTTTTATTTTTAATTTTATAAGAAAAATACAGTAAGAGTTAAGCAAAAGTTTAGCGGCTGGCAATAATTTAAGCTACATATGCGACAGTGATGCTTGGCTTTGCTTACACCATTACTGTTGTAAATTTGCTTTTCTGAAAATTTAATTTTCTGATTTGCTTTCAATTCTTAACTATAATGTTTGACTGTGTTTAGTCATGACACTTTTTGTCTAGTGTAGCATGATGCCCTTGAAACACCAACCCCGAATATTTTTTGGCAAAAATAATAAACCGAAACTCCGAAGGCTTATTTATACTTCGATGCGGTCAAAAGTCTACTCCGACACCAAATCCAGATATGTCATTCACGGTAAACCCCCGAGCACCGACACTTATGGCCCTGAGAAACTCTAGTTTATTCCATATAAATTTTTCAATTTAAAGATGAACTTGAAAAAATATGAAATTCTTCTTTTTATTTGCATACTACACGAATTATCTGAATGCATGAACGAGGATAATTTTGGAAATACAAGTAAACACGAAGGAAAACTTTCTAAACGTATGGGATTTTTAAAAGCTAAAAGTTTTGAGGAAAGGAAAAAGCTTAAGAAGGCTTGTCAGGAGCTATTAAACATTCGAAATGAAGGCCTTAACAAAGGTACCGTTATAGAAGGTATACATCTTATTTTATGATTTAACGACGAAAAACTTAAATTTTTTTATTTTTAATTTTAATTTAGTTACAGGAGACTTTCAAAGACTTAATAAAAATTATCGTTAGTTGAATAAAATGATTTTTAATTTTAAGGTAAGAAAAAGCGAACGTTTCATTACCAATTTAATCCTGGAGAGGATCTTACATTTGATCAATTATTTCCTGATGAGAAAGATGGACAGTACCTTCTTGAAGGTAACTTAACATCGGTAATAACTAGGGATCGGATTTGTATTGAAATATATTTTTTTTCCTGAATATATTATGTCGAGAAAAGCCCAAATATGCTATTAGTTTTTGAATATTATGATTTTGAACAAAGATACATTTCAATATATTTCAATATTTTGCCAATTTTTCAGTTATCTCAATATTTGGCACTTTTTTCAACTTATTTCAATATTTTTGCATAATTTTACTAAAATTTTGGGATTTTTCATAAATTTTAGGAAAAAAGTTAAGAAATCTAGCCATTTGTCAACCAAAATTCTCAAAATTTTCGCCTGCGGCGCTGAAAAGGACATATTATGGCCTATTATTCTCTACAGTGCTGTTGCCTTCCATTAATTATTCCCTAAATGGCGCTCAGTCCTTATGAAAAGACGCCTCCACAATTCCTCAATTAACAAAACCTCAAAATTTGTAAATGAACAAAAGTCCCCATAAAGGCCCATTCCAGAATGTTCCGCCCTCAAAATGTCCCACTGGGCAAAACCCAAAATGGCACATCGAGCAAAATCCACAAAATGTCCCATCCACATTTTGTCAATCACAAAATGTTCAAGAAAGTAAAAATACTCGATTCGTCGAGCTATAAAGTCAATTTTAAAAACGTGATTATTTTTTTTGTTAAATTTCATCTTTTTTTAGGGTTTTGCTAGTGAATATACAATAATTTATTTCAATATTTAGCTAATTTTTCCCATTTTTTGTCAATATTTTGTCACTTTATTTCAATATTTTATGGCCATATTTTGCGATTTTATTTCAATATAAATCCGATCCCTAGTAATAACCAGGGGTGAGCGCAGCGCACTGCGTTTTGCGTTAAATTTTGCGTTAAATTTTGCGCTTTTTGAGATTGTCACTTGCGCTCATCCCTGTTAATAACTAATAATAAATTCGTGGAGTGTAATTAATTTATGTCATTTAATTAGAATAAATACAGTAATACAGTATTTACTCGATTAATTCCCCTACCTCAAAAATCCCCCTCTCTCGAATAACTCCCCCTGCTACGGATGAGTTGAATAATAATAATCCCCCTCCTCCCCCCACCCCCCCTCCCCCTCCCCCAAATACTCTAGTACTACACGTTCAAATTCAAAAATCGAATAATTCCCCTCACTTGAATAATTCCCCATGCCACGGATGGGTTGAAAAATAATTCCCAGGGGAATTAATCGAGTAAATACTGTAATATTTTATTTCTCGAGTTTTAAATGAATTAATTTTAAGAGCAAAAAAAGCGAACGACTCTTGATCAATTAAAACTTGGAACGGATACTCCATTCGAGACATTATTTCTCGATGAAAAGCATGGGCAGCATTTTCTTGAAGGTAACTTAAATAATGACTAAAGAGGTGTGCACAAAATTGATAAATATTCAAAATACTAGATTTTTATCAAAACTTTTACTAAGAAATATTGCTAATTTGGTTTTTTCAATGTCATAACTTCTAAAAAATGAGAGAATGAGAGAATATTAGAAAATGGGTTTAGCGTATAATTAACAGTAAACATTCTTTTCTAGGCTACGATCGCAAACAAGCAAATGATCAAAAATCTAAAAATAAAGAATAGAAACACACAAGTAACTAAAATATTGGTACTTTATGGATATGTCACCCCCCCCCTCCTATTTTGAGTCTCAGAGTTTTCCTTAAACGCAGAAAATGGTCAGAGATTATTTTCTTCTCCATGTCAATCATTTTTCTTTCTTCAAGCAAAATAAGTGAAATTTGGTAAATGTAGAAACGAAATGAGTGAAAAGTAAGTACAAAATATGCAAAAAGGCAAAATAAATAAGCAAAATACTTGAAGAAGAAAAAAATGATTGACATATAGAAGAAAATAATCTCTGACCATTTTCTACGTTTAAGGAAAACCCTGAGACTCAAATTGGGAGGGGGGTGACATATCCATAAAGTACCAAAATATTTTATAAAACTGAATTATCAAAAAAATTTCCACTAAATATAATTACATATAATTACATATGAGTCGTGATTCAATATTTGTTATTTTTTTAAGTAGAAGATAAATTTAGAATTATTTTTAAATTTTATTTTACAAAATATTTTATCAATTTTTAAATTTATTATTCCGACTATTGGGGATAAATAAAAAATGTACCCAAAGGGTCAACTATGCGCTATAAAACAAAGTGACAAAAAATCACTAACCTAGGCTTTTGCCATCGTGAAATATTGATGAGGCTTCAGCCGTCATAAAATTAAGTACGTAATGATGTAAATGGAGAGAGTTGTTAAATTAATGTAATAAAAATACCATATTTTATTGAGCGTGTAAAAAGATAATTTGACACAAAAAAACGACCACAGACTTATAGTTTAGCAAGGGAGGTGTGAGACATATCCGTTTATTGCCTAAGCAAAGGTGTCTTTTGGGCGAGCATTATGCATTAATGGATTTTCCTAACCATTACACTATAAATATTATTTGTCGCTATTTCCTGTGATACATCCCATTCACATCCGTATGTATTTTCATATATTGTTCATTGTTTCATCAATAAATAAGTTCCCAGTTAGTCAATCTCTTTGAATATGTATGTGCCCATAAGGAATTCTTGACCCTCTCAATCTTTTCGTCGCAGGCTTTAAGGTCTGCGACACATGTCGTTTTCTCCGAACCTAAAGCGAACCAACAAACCGACCTGAAGTTTTTGGTTAATCGAAACCAAACCAAAAAACCGAACCGAAGCAGCAGCATAAGGAGGGATAAAAAGATCACTGCTTCTTCCTCAATGCTTCTAAGCCACTCAAACACCGAACAACAAAATCGCATAATTAATATAACATTATGGAATACAATTATCATTCTGGAAAATAATTTGAAATACCCTTAATAGATTTACTAAAAGTTTTTATGCATTTTAAATGAAAATTTATAAAATATTAAATTACGATAATTTTAATCAATTTTTTTAATTGTTTTCGTTTTTTTAATTTTTAGTTTTGTTCTATATTGTTTCTGGTAACATATCTTACACAAATCGTTTTCACGCATCGAATCACGGTACCAATGTGGCGTTTGAGTTATACCGCAAATAAAGCAACTTCGATATTGTGTATATCGCTAAACTATTTATATAAAAGTGTTGAAATATTTAAATTATAATCATTAATACAGATTTTCGAAAATAACTTTTTGAAGATCTTTAAGTACTAGTTCATTACTTTATGATATTATACAGTACTAGCATTAAGTTGAATGTATTCAACTAAACTAATTTTTTATGTGTAACGTACAAATACAGGGTGGGGCAAAAGTTCGGCGACAAATTTTATTTTGTCCTTTCTTAAAATTTACTTTATATTTTGCTTTTTGATTAGATTTCCCATATTCTATGATTCGCGCTCTACAAATTTTATCTTGAAAATTTTTTCCTATCTCATAAAGTAAAAATTTTACAGTCTGTTAAAGAATCGTGCTTCTATTATTTCTTTGTATTTTAAAAATGTTCGAAAATGTGACATCGCTAGACGGCTAGATATCTGTCGTATGTTGGTTTACAAAGCAATAAAACAATATCATGAGCTTGGAAATACCCAGGACCGTCCTAGTAGTGGCCGGCCGGTAACCGAAGTTACGACTGAAAACATGAACGGACGTCAGATGCCGAATTTTCCGTTTTTCTGAACAATCGATGTGAAAAACGGCCTCAGATCTCGGAATGAGCTCGAGGAGCCTCCTAAAAATTGTCAGAGTGAAGCTTAGACTTTGGAGTTATAAGATCAGCCGTTCATATTTCCTTAGCAATCGAATGAAGCATAAGAGACTTCAAAATGTCGAAGGATTAAACGCCTGGTCGCAGCTGGTCGCCATAACAGAGTGATGAATGTAAAAATTAATGCCAGTCTAAAAAATGACATTCTGAGGGGGGTTGTGCATCCATGGGCGTTATAGCATTTTGGTGAAAACCAATTCTCGCTTCAGCAGGATTGGGTACCTGTGCATGGAGCCAAAATGGCAAATCAGCTCTGTGGGGAGCTGTTTCCTGGCTTTTGGGGGAAAGATATCTGGCCTTCAAACTCAACTGATTTAAATCCGTGGATTATTCTATTTGAGCAATTCTGTAGCAAAAAGTATGCCGAATCCGATACGCAACATAGGAGGAACTGAAGGTTGTTTTGAGCGGGACTGGAACTGATTATCCGATGAACAATGCGCGACCATTGTTAGTCACAACCGAAAGCGTTTGGATGCGTGTAGTTCAGTCAGGGGCGGTCATTTTGAGAAATTACTTTAATAAAATGATTATTATATCCTATTGATTATATTTTATCATTTTTTCATGTTAAATAAATTTTTTTTACAATAGATTTTATTAAAAACTTTTGTCGCCGAACTTTTGCCCCACCCTGTACTTTTCTGGGTATAACTTGAGTTTAAATTCTTCTGCCTTACTCACAAAAATTAACCTAATTTTTAAAAAATTAACCATTTTTATAAAGATAACCTTATTAGTTTTAAGCCATAATTCTTTTGATCTAAACTTTCCATATTTGTGTTTATAATCGCCACATAGTTTGCATAAGTAATGTTCTTTTAGTACACTATACCACCCTTTTGTTTGTGTAGTTCTACAATTGAAACACCTTTGTTTATTTACTTCAATTATTCCACCTATAAATATTAAGTAAAATTTTATAGTCAAATGAAGAGTGACTAATTTAAAAATCTATTTACTTATTATATTGCCAATGTAAACAATTCTGCTTTTTAATTCTTTCGGATATTCAACTTTTTGTTTTTCTAACAATTCAATTTTATATCCAATTAAATTAATTTCCGTCCAATAACTGGATAAAAGTTTGCTTTTGTAATTTTTTATAATTTCTTTTAATAATTCTTTTTTATTTATTTTTGTATTTTCTAAACTCTTATCTAATATAGAAGTTTCATAATATTTATTCTTCTTTATAATAAATTCAGTAAATCTGAGAACCTTTTATGAATAAATTAATAATGTTCTAAAGGTAGTTACATTATAAAAGTTAATTGCCTATTAATTTAATACTTATTGGATATACCGCCCCTAATTTGAGTCTCAGTTATTCATTGCTTTTTCATTTTTGACTATATCGTTCAAGCACTAACATTTCTTCCAACTTGAATTCTTCGGGAAAATGAATGATTGGCACAACGACAGAAAGAACAACTTAGCCTCAAAAAATTATAACTTTACTTAGGATAAGTACCATATTTTAATGACTTTCAGACTTAAAAATACCTGATTTTCAAATCCAGGATGAATATTTTGAAAAATTTTATTATTGGCAATATTAATCAACACTCTCCTGTTTAATTCAACAGCAAATTCTGGTCTATCATCTAGATCAACATTAAAAATATTTTCTTCATTGTTTGCATTAATTCGATGCAAAAATCCCTCAATATTATAATTATAGCTAGAATCATACTGATTAATATGTTTTTCTATTTTATCCAATACAAATCGCTCTTTTAGTTCAACGTTCTTTAAATAGATATATTCTCTTTTTTCTTCCCAATCTCCTTTGATTTTTACTAGAACACTAACTTTTTTACCTTCACAGTTAATATTCAATAGTAATTATATTTCCACTAAATAATAATTATATTTCCACTAAATATAATTACATATAATTACATATGAGTCGTGATTCAATATTTGTTATTTTTTTAAGTAGAAGATAAATTTAGAATTATTTTTAAATTTTATTTTACAAAATATTTTATCAATTTTTAAATTTATTATTCCGACTATTGGGGATAAATAAAAAATGTACCCAAAGGGTCAACTATGCGCTATAAAACAAAGTGACAAAAAATCACTAACCTAGGCTTTTGCCATCGTGAAATATTGATGAGGCTTCAGCCGTCATAAAATTAAGTACGTAATGATGTAAATGGAGAGAGTTGTTAAATTAATGTAATAAAAATACCATATTTTATTGAGCGTGTAAAAAGATAATTTGACACAAAAAAACGACCACAGACTTATAGTTTAGCAAGGGAGGTGTGAGACATATCCGTTTATTGCCTAAGCAAAGGTGTCTTTTGGGCGAGCATTATGCATTAATGGATTTTCCTAACCATTACACTATAAATATTATTTGTCGCTATTTCCTGTGATACATCCCATTCACATCCGTATGTATTTTCATATATTTTTCATTGTTTCATCAATAAATAAGTTCCCAGTTAGTCAATCTCTTTGAATATGTATGTGCCCATAAGGAATTCTTGACCCTCTCAATCTTTTCGTCGCAGGCTTTAAGGTCTGCGACACATGTCGTTTTCTCCGAACCTAAAGCGAACCAACAAACCGACCTGAAGTTTTTGGTTAATCGAAACCAAACCAAAAAACCGAACCGAAGCAGCAGCATAAGGAGGGATAAAAAGATCACTGCTTCTTCCTCAATGCTTCTAAGCCACTCAAACACCGAACAACAAAATCGCATAATTAATATAACATTATGGAATACAATTATCATTCTGGAAAATAATTTGAAATACCCTTAATAGATTTACTAAAAGTTTTTATGCATTTTAAATGAAAATTTATAAAATAT